TAGACAGATTAAGATTATAAACTGTATGTTAAACTACACATGTGTGGGGAGGTGGTGAATATGTGGCTCTGAATGTTATTACATTTGCTACATACAATTAATAGGCACAAAGCCTCTTGAGGTATTGTATGAGGTCAAGAAGGTTGGGCTAGTTTTAGACACAAACACTTTGACTTGGTGCTGATGAGAGAGAGGAACGTTGAACCTGATGCACATTCATCCCTTCTGTTATTAAGAGAGCCATTATGAGTATTTGTAGCTTTCAATCACGTGTCTGGTGCGGAGGACTGGAATGCAAAAAGAGCTTAGGAAAGTGGCGGCCATCATTGAACACTGTGCATCAGGAGCTTGATTAATTTCCATCTCCCCGCACATTCTACCTCCTAGGTAGAGCACTTCATTTCATAGTCATCCTGCACTCTCTCTCTCTTCACATGTCCAGTATATTTTCAGCTGTCCTGCCCAAAAAAAGGCAAAAGCCCCCAAAAATAATTAGTAAAATTGATCTTTGTCTTCAGATAGAAAATCTGATTTTGGAAGGTGCTCTTTCTTAACAGAAGTTCTCTAAAAACAACCTCACACCTCCATTCCTGAACTTCCTTAGGTCACCGAGATAACATGCTGCAGATGTCGTCAAGATACTGGTTTACAAGCTGTTGTTGTGAAAGCGGAAAAGGAGAAGCAGATTGAAACTGCAGTGTCAATGAAATCGAAAAACCAAAGAGAATTTTGTTATGATCAAATCTGTCTTGGAAAACGTCCTATAAAAGCAATGCTGGTAAGACACCTTCAATGCTGCTCTGAAATGAGACATCAATAGCCAGGAAGTGTCGAGAATTCTTCTGACGTTTTCTCTTTATTGAGAAGTCAATAATGATTATGGAAGAATCAAAATCAAATGTCTCTCTAGTGCTCTTGCAAAAGGGAAATAAGATATTATACAAAAACAATTGTTTATATTTTGTTTTATACTCATGCTTTGATCCATCACTAGTAACTCTCATAGTTATTTGACATAAGTTTTAAATTACCAACATTTGGGGGGTTTCGAAAGCTGCCTTATGTAGAGTTTATTTGAAAAGACGCAACAATTTCTATGTAAGCCCTGCTCAGACAAAGGTAAGATAACTGAACAGCTTTCACCTTTGTGTTCCAGCAATCAGCAGCGGAAACTGTATGGTCAAACTTTGCCCTGAGTTGTTAATCAGTTGAGAAGGGCCCCGGCTCCTAGTCTACTACTGCTAAGTCTGGAAAAGAGGATAATAATGTTTATCTGTATTTAGTGGCCTGTTCACTTACTATTACAACAACATATTTTGTTATTATTATTATTTATGTTTTCATTAAAACAATCATTAAAACTAGCAACTAATGCTTACAATAACCACACAAGTGTTGTACTTTTTCAAGATGGATGCAGAGAGGGTTATTTTGTCATTACAACACTATTTGCTTATCTGTTTGCATATGATACACAACTGTCCTCCAGTTTTACATAAAGCCTTGTTGAGAATGTGAGCAGGTTGAAAACTGTTCATCTACTACAGCCTGATAAAAATGAAAGGGGCACAGACCCTGGATTACTGTTAAATTACCAAAATAGACAGAAGAGTCAAATTGAACAATGAGTTGTCACACATTTTCGTCTACTCTAATTCCAACAGAGTTTCGATTTTTAATTTTATGGATCCCATTTTTTTCCACAGATATATATATCAGTAACTCTTGAATAACTTGAATTGCATAAAAGGTTTACGGCATTTGTTTTAATACTTTATCAGTTTTGAAAAGATCTGGTTATATGCACATCATGTAGGTGCATGCAAAGAAGATACGTCTGCACACTTAGTGATAATTTGGTGAAATGATCGGCTGAAGAAGACCTCTGGTCAAAACGTTGAGATTTAATAAAAACTTTATCTGGCATTTCAGCAGGTGTGCGGGCATATCTTCATTTTCTTTTGAATATGTTATCAGTTGTTATGTAATAATCTTATCTCACTTTAATTTCACTTTCAGAGCGGTCCATCCGCATGTGATAGAGACACAAAAAGTACAGCACAAATCTGAATAATCTTAAATTAGTGTTACCCTCTGTTTTTGATGCCAATTTACAGTGTTACTGGGACAGTATCATGATGACATGTTTCATTTTCCTTGGCAACTTTATGGTCACAAAAGCACTACAAAAAAAACTGAGTCAGAATAGGACCTTCTGGTCACTACCTTCTCCTTCCTGAGAGAAGCAAAATAGTTCAAATACATTCTCTAATTGCTTCTTCTCTTACGTAATGCAGGTAACTAACACTAAAAATGGGAAACTATAGCGGTCTTAGTCTCCAGAGAGATTAATGAGAGTCAGTGATTCAGTCTGTGTTCCAGTCACATAAGAAAAAAAGCATCAGCTGATAAAACCACAATATTTTAATATGGCTGATATCCAGACCAATAATCACAAGCCATCTTAACTGAGCAAACAGACCAAATCATGTGATAGCCAACACAACAGTGTTAAAACCAACCCCATGCATAGACCTTCGGGTGTTTAAAAGTGTAAGGTTGATCAAATAAAACAAGTCATCATATTGTTTAAATACCAGAACAATTCCTAAAATCAGCACTCAAATTCTCCCACTAATCTTTGCAGCCTATACCAATAATGACAGATGATAATTTGTATACGTGTGTATATTACCAACCTGCCAAGGGATTACAGATAGAAATTAGCCTATAGCTACAATCTAGCATGTTTACACATTTATGTATGGTGAGGTGTTTTTTTTCACATAACGTAAGAAAATTCTGTAGTTTTCTTTTAAGATTCCAAGGTGACAATTACAGAAATGATTGAAATGTTGTCACTAACAGGATTGGAGCTTTTGTGAAGCCAAAATAAAGTAAAGTTTTTCCTTTGTAGTCATTTGTTTTTCATTTTTGGGCTTGTAATGGCTGATAAGTCATTCTCAATTAAATCCTAATAAAGCTTCTAGAACAAAAGACCACTGTTTTTCATTAGAAAAGCTGTAAACAAAATCAAGAGTCCAAATCTCCTTCAGAAAACTATCATCAAGAGCAGTTCCCATGCTCCTCAGAACTCATTGAGATGCCCCTCTGGCTATTCTAAACTTTTTGGTCCAGAAATTAGTTATGAAAACTGGAGCAGCTATAGCTGCCATATCCCCATAAGAACAAATAAGCCCTCTGCCAGCTTTCTGTTTACTAAGAGAGAACAATTCCAGGTCACCACAGCTAAAACTTTGCTTTCGAGGTCATCTCAAGTAATAAAGAAGTAAGATCCTCCAATGGTGGGTTTGTTAAGATCTCAGCACTGAATACAGTACATCATCATAGTGACATCTGACAGCAAAAATGTCAAAATCGTAGCAATTATGTTCAAGTCCTATGTCAGTGTTGTGAAAAACTATGTAAGCCATACTAGGGCTGGGCGATATGGACCAAAACTTATATCTTGATATTGATTAGCGGAATGGCGATATTCGATATGTATTTTATTAACAATGAAAACAAACTATCTGTTTGTGAATTTAAAAAGTAATATTAAAAAAAAAAACGTTCCTTAAATACAATAAAATAGAGAGAGAGGAGGAGCAGGGTTAAGAGGGACAGACAGTCAGTCATCATCGGTGAGATGAGAAAAAGGTGACCTGGCACCTCTGTAACGTTATTTTAATGCAACATAAACTATGTCGATATTAACGATATTTTCTTACCCTATATCTTGTTTGAAAATATATCGATATATCTTAAACACTCCATATATTTCCCAGCCCTAAGCCATACACTTGTCTAAAAAGAAGGTTGAGGATTTTTGTAGTGAACAAAGATTTCATCCTCATCCCCATCACATCAGATACTATTCTGTTATCATCCAGACACAGCGCTGTAAAAACCTCTTTGTGGCCAGATTTTCTTGTACCCCTTTTGAATAAAGACTTCATCGGACCTGTGGTTTCTGCAAAACCAACCCTCCTCTCAGGTTGCGGGCCTTGTAATTCAAATATCAATAACAGAGACAGTCACTGATCTACAAGAAACGCATGTAGACATGACAGCTCCACTCGTGTGCTACAGAAGTTATTTGTTGTTGCAGTAGAACTGTTTCTGCCAAAATGCACAACAAATAAGCAGATAAAACCCACGTTGAAAAAACAGATAATTCACAGCTAATGCTATGGCCATGATATTATGGCCAAGATAAGATACCTGTCTTCATCATGCATGAGAAGAATAAGCAATTACTCGGTTTAAGGCAGTAAACATTAATAGTTGAACTTTTCCAGCACTTCATCATGCATGTCTGACAACTTTCAACAAATACTTTGAATTGTGCAGGAATGGGGTCATGCTTTGATGTTGCCGATCCCGCAGATGTTTTGTAAATCATTTAACCGGGGTCGTGACCATCCACCACCTCTGACACAGTGAGTTCTTCTGACTGACTGCACGAGGATTAGTTCCCAAAGCAATCAATATATTGAGTTATTGGTGTAAGAAAAATCAAATCCTCAGAGGCAATGTTGCGGGGATTGGATTGCTGTGCAGAGGTTTACATCATCATTAGTATTTCATAATGAGACAGCTTCCTCAACGGCCAATGCACTGGCCATTCAGGAAGCGAAAATGCCTCAGGTTTTTGACACAAAAACAACAACAATGTGCCATGGGGAAAGGCAATTTACTAAGACAACTGCCTTTTTTTTTTCTTTTTTTTTAAAGCTAAAGTGTGGTAAAGTACCTCTCACAGTAAATAACTACCTGGCCAAGTAAGCTCTGAAAACTGACACACCATGTCAGGTTCAGAAGAAGAAAAAAAAAAAAAAGGCACAAACTTGTTAGTTGAAATGCACACAAGACGAGGCCTACATGTTTGTCCCAGTACACCACCGTGCACTTGGAAGTGTCCAGAGAAAATGCTTGCTCATTTTAGTGTTAACAGGTTATTATTACAACGTAACAAATAGGATATAAAGTGCACTTACGTAACGTCTCAACTTTTTTTCAGGAGGAGACTTTCTCAGCCACCCTGAGCACACCACATCTCCCCCACTCATATCTGCTTCTTTCTTGCTCTCCTTTGAGTTTGAGCGCAGATTTCTGTTGGCTGCGTTTCCTTTAGGGAATGTCTTCTTTTTGTATCTGAAAATGAACACGTCCTGGCCAAGTAAGCTCTGAAAACTGACACACCATGTCAGGTTCAGAAGAAGAAAAAAAAAAAAAGGCACAAACTTGTTAGTTGAAATGCACACAAGACGAGGCCTACATGTTTGTCCCAGTACACCACCGTGCACTTGGAAGTGTCCAGAGAAAATGCTTGCTCATTTTAGTGTTAACAGGTTATTATTACAACGTAACAAATAGGATATAAAGTGCACTTACGTAACGTCTCAACTTTTTTTCAGGAGGAGACTTTCTCAGCCACCCTGAGCACACCACATCTCCCCCACTCATATCTGCTTCTTTCTTGCTCTCCCTTTGAGTTTGAGCGCAGATTTCTGTTTGGCTGCGTTTCCTTTAGGGAATGTCTTCTTTTTTTGTATCTGAAAATGAACACGTTGGCAAAAGACTGAAACAGTGAATTTGAGACATAAGTTAATGTAGTGATTTGTGCTTGTGATAGCAATAATACACTCCTTCGAAAGTCAACTCACCGACAAGGCAGTTGTCTGAAATGCACAGACCAGATTTTCCACGAGTTGTAGTCAAATAATCGGGTATATCCTGAGCTTGGAGTTCATGTAAACCTCGACGGCACCGCCTTTTGTACAAATATAAACGTTGACTTGTGTATTTTGTTCAAACTGGAACGCCTTGGGGACAAAAAACAGACGAAGGCAACTGAAAGTAGCTAACTTTTGTTGTTATATGCAACGCTTCATGCTAATTCCCGTCAAAGTGGAAAGATTCCCAGTTGGCGAAATCAAGGTAAAAAAACCGTCCCACAGTGTACCGGTGCATAGTTGTTGTTTCTGCGCAAATTAAAACAATCTTCACCGTAAACACAGTGGTTCCGCCGAGCTTCCCTAGCAGTTTACTCCCATGGTTTCTTAATTATGATTGACAGGGTGGCTCCGTCTTTCCCTCAACTCACCCTCCTCTGTGGAACACGGCGGCGTCAAGGCAACGTCAGTGAATGCGGGAAACCGGAACATGGGGAAAGTCTGGTTTTCAAAATAAAAGTTAACATTATCGTTGAACTTTCGTTACCTGCTTTCCTTGCGCTACCATTAAAGCCGACTTCTTGAATTTAAAATAAATGTTACGTCGTTTTTTTTGTTTTTTGTTGTTGTCATCCTTCAGAAATATTTGGCAACCTTGACTATCTACACCTATTAGTTCAAAATGTCAAAGAAAGTCATAATTTTAGGAGGAACAAATGAATGTGAGTTGTGGATCAAAACCATGTACTGTATTTTTTTTTTAAATTTAATTTAATTAAAAACGTTTCCCTTCAAGGCAATATTACTTAATATCCACAACATAAACATGTTTCAATGGTGTCACGTTAGGAACCGAGATGCGGGATACATTGAAAGTCAAAACCGGATGTTTCTTTCCTGTAGTTCCGCTCTCTTGAATCCTAAGAGAAGGCGGCGGCACACTGGGACAACTGCTCCAAGCATGGGACATGTAGTTCAAAATTACGCTGTGGTACGTCCCAGAAAAAAAAAAAAAACATGTATATTCAGCGGTTTTACGGATGACACCGAATGTAAAAACGGCGCAACTTTGTCTGAGTCAAAACTAATTGTGGCAAAAGACAGCCATAGAAAAGACAAAGAAATTACTCACTTCGGCGTTCACCCAAAGGTCCAAAGAAATTATTACATAGAACATACAATCAAAAATGCGCGGGTTTTTTTGGGGGAAAAACTAAGCCCAATGTACTGCTGTAAGTGGGATAGTATGAAGGAAAGTGGGCTCATTCACATCATGTTTAACTTACTATATTGTAGTTATGAAATTGTCTTCTCTGATATAACGAAATATAGCTTGAATTTTTCTTTTCTTTTACCAAAACATGGCCTCATGTAAGATAGCTCAAATATATCACTTTATGATTCATTTTTAAACTCTTATATAATACATAAACGGTAGGCTACTGCCCAGAATCACAGTGGTAAGGTAAAGGGTTATATCTGTTAGTGTAGCCTAATACTGATCTGGTTTACCATATCTGATCTATAAATTGAACTCAACTATGCATATATAATTGGGATAATCCATTGGTGAAGAGCTGTTTACCATGGATTTAGAATGGTATCTCTGGAATCTTATTGGAATGCTATTGTTATGGTAAAACACTTCCCCCAAAGGATGTTCTCTGTTAGTCTGTGATTAATGACTTTGCCATTGTACAGGCACATAGCTCTGTCAGCAGTCTCAGTATTGATGAAGAAATAGAGGGCAATTTAAAACTGTTGACACTATACACCAATTTCAGTGAATTCTTTCTTCATGATACAATATCATCAGCACTACAGCTTTAGTGTTATAACATTAAATAGTCTATTTGAAATGCTCTAAATGCTTTAGGTATCTGTGAATATGTATCTGTGAAGCCTCAATGCTGTTTATTGTTAGGTGCTTAGCACAGACGTTGATCTTTAATGTCGGCTCTACTGCGTCCATGATGAATCTGCTACTCTGGCTCAAGGTGCATTATTCAATTGTACCCATATCTGAGCAGACCTGGCTGTATTTTCTGTTAGTGCGGGCTGTATTCTTGGCACTTTTGCACTCGCGTCATTACAGCTGTCATTTGTCTCCTTAACTATAAGTAGATGGTGGGATTTCCTGTGATTTTTCCAGTTCCCTTTTCACACAGTGCCTGGTCTACTCTCACTTCCATTTGGGCATAAGACTGTTTTGCAATCAAACAAAAAAAATTATTTTGAAGTATGGAGCAAAAATATACACTTCTGTTTTTCTAATCAACAAAGCTACAACTAAAAATGGGACGTGTTTTAGAAAGGAATTATTTCGGTTCACATATACAAATGTCTATTATCTACAGATGAAACTTGGGAAATATGAAAATTTTACAAGCAAGGTCACACATCTGTTAAATTATGCTTTAGCAAACAACACACTCATAACCACCAGTGTTTGGTTCAGGTCAACTAATTGCGTAGAAACTATCTGCTGCTTTGTTTGCTGTAATCATCTGAGCATATTGATAGTCTCTCTCTCTTCTGTCATCTATTTTATAGGTAAGTCCTCAATGCCAAACTCTTGGCCAACATAATAATTACTTGATTTAATATGTTGACTTATCATTTAAGACGGTGTAACATATACTGATTTAATTTTTTCCTGTAGGGAAAGTAGTTATTATGAATATTAATTAACACAGTAAATACGGCAAAATGACAACACATTCCTCTTAAAAAAATATGGAAGGCACATTACATCAGTCTGAATATCAAAGTCTCCCTGAATGATCGAATCAGAATGATGCATTAAATATTCAGACAAAAACAAACTGCTATCAAATGTCTACACAAGCAGTTTGCAATTTAGCTATCCACAGATGACACTACCTTTTATTGAGAGAACAGTATTAAACGCATATCTAAAAAACATTGCATTACCTTGAAATCGACCATGTATAGTAATGAATTTTACACTTGTGTATTCCATGATAATTCAGAATGATATTTTTAGTCATATGTAAATTTATTGCATGAAATAAGAAACCTATAAAACACCAAAGCACACATCAAAAAAGATTGAAATATCTTGAAAATCAAACTCTACAGCTCGTGAGGAAAAGCCACATGCAAATCAGAAAAGTAAACAAAGGTTGAGCTGTGTGTTCAGAACTATGACACATCCAAAACAGTCTCTTTATCTTACAGTTGAATGCTTTTTTGTCTGTACTGTGCACTGCACATGCATGTTTTTGCATATGTTTATGTTTGGTGTGTGTGTGTGTGTGTTTGAGGTAATGTAAACACTGAAAACCAGTTAATATCAACATGTTATTAACTGAAACTGATTACCACATTCAATTAATTTAAGTAAAGATTGAAGTCTTTTCATTAATATAAAATCATACTGAGCCCGATGTCATTCATTTCGTTCCAATCACTATCATCTACCTCAAATTTTTGGGTAAATTTAATATTAGAATTTAAGTCAATTTATCAAAATAAATTATATATAACTGAAACAATAGTATAAAATTAAAACCTAACAAAATCGGGAATCAGAAGTAGCAGTTCTGTGTGTGTGTGTGTGCGTTTGTTGTTTTTCAGTGCTCTTTTTTATGAGGTTATTACATATCTGCTTCATGGAAGTTCAGGCTCCTGTATGATCAGTTCAGTGCCCCTTTATGTCAGTTCATCTGTGTTTCCTGCTGATTTTTTTTATCCCCTCTAGAAGACCAGTCTGCTAATAGTATTGAAGCCCCCTCCCCCTCCTCCTCCTCCTCCTCCTCCCCCTGATGGGCCACAGCTCCCTGGTGGGTTATTGTCATCTGAACCGTTGGGCCTGAATGAGCAGGAGGTTGAAGGGGCCTGGAGAGCCTGGGTCCGAGCATTGAGCTCCTGCTCCTGTTCACAGTGTGGAGGATAAAATGAAATGGGTTTTTTTTTTTTTAAAGTTAGAACATCTTGAATGTAAACAAACTAGAAACACATACGCCTTGCTATTCCAAGGAATTTATTCAGCATTTGTGTGTCCAATAATGTATAAGTGTAACATTACTATAGCACCCTCTAGCAGTCATTCACATCAGTCCTTTGCACAAGTGCACTGGAAAGTCGACTTAACACAGCACGGTCAAATGACTTATGAAATTACACCTCCGGTTATATAACAGGACACTTCAGTGTTGGCTTCAAGTTCAGCCAGAAAAATAAATAAATCCAATACTCTGCTGGTTGTTAGGTATTTAAAAAAGGAACATCAGATTTCCCTCAGGTACTTTACACCTGAGTGAATCTACTACAGTCCTCCATCATGGTAATAACCCCACACTTTAAGAGGTTAGTACTCATGATATTATACATAGAAATGCATTTTAAGCATGAAAAATAAGTCCACTGTAGATCAAAAACTTGGGTTCCATGCCAATCACATCATGCTTGGTTTGAATAAATTGGCATAATCTATAGACTGATGAAAGATGAAGAAATGTGTGTTTTGTTCACCTGTAAATACAGCTTGTTGTCCTTGATGATAGCATCCAGGAGTTCTTTTTGCAGCGGAGGCTCAGCGCTCACTTTTTTTCCATTTGCCATCAGTCCTCCATTTATTCTCTGCCCTGGTAACTCCTGTTTTCTGTACATAAGCACATATGCTGTGTCCTTGGGGAAGCGATTAGTAATGTTTTGCACCGATTGGAGGGACGAGAATGTCACTCTGCTGTCGTTGAAAAGCAGCCAATCCCTTGCCTCCTGGCCACTGTTCGAAGGTGTGTCTCCTCGTTCAGGTGAAATCGAGAGAGCAGAGCAAGTGGGGAGGCTACACTCAGCCTGGCCGTTTCCCAAGTCCTCCTTTAGGGCAAAGTGATTGGCTGGATGCTGGGTTCCATCTGCTCCGTTAATGTTACGACCGTAGGAGTAGTAGTGGCCGCTCTCAGACGAAATGCCAGAATGCATCACCACTGAGCTGAGCACATAGGGCACGGACTGGACTGACATCTCTCCCCCTCTGTTTAAAAGCTCTTCTCCATCTATCCTCTCCTTCTCCTCTTCTTCCTCCTCTTTCTGAGATGGTTTCAGCTTCTTGGCCAGATTCTCGCTGCTCTCTGGGGAGTCCACTTGCAGAGGGGAGGAGGTAGAAGAGGAATATTGTGTATGCATCGAAGGAGAGTGCACAGGAAGTCTCATGAGGGGTGGGATGGTAACATTTTCCAGAATCTTCCTGCGGACATGGCATTTGGCATCATATGAGAATCGCAGCAGGGTGAGGATTAAGTATTCAGGTGCCGACACTAGTTTCATGGTCCTCTCGGCCCGCTGCAGGGAGCTGCACTTCTCACAGAAATACGCATTCTCTTCATCCAGGATCTCTGGAGCGAGGAAATAGTTCACCAGGTCAGGCACAGAGAGAGGGGGCCCATTTGTCACTGGCACAAATTGTACATTGCTAGTGGGATTTTTAGCCGAACCTGGCTCTGGAGTTTCACTGCCACCATTGACAGAACCCTGACAGAGAACTTTAGGCTCCTCTGAGGGCCCTGCAGCTTGAGGGCTGTCCTGAGACGTGGCAGATGGACAGAAGGCCAGAGAGGTCTGTAAAACGTTCCTGTTTCTCAGAGATAATGTTACACTGCATACAGCGAATCCCTGTGATCAGATTCCCAGCCAAACATCCTTTCTATCAAAGTCCTCCCATCATCCACAGGTTCAGCTTCTGCTGGAGATGAAGCTGATTCTTCAGTGTCCTCTGGAGAAGTCTGAGCTTCTGGGTCTTTGCTGCTTGTGTCCACAGGGGAGGCAACCTTTGGCTTAGCTGATTCCAGGACCTGAAGTGTTTTCTCCTCTTCGTGTAACCTTTATATCAAAACAGAGAGACGCTTAACAAAAGAGAGGAAAACACAACTTTGCGTCGTTTTTAAATCGGTGCACCTGCAATGATTCACCAAATTGATTTGTTTCTAAATAAAAACCCACCCAAATTCTTAAACTTGTTGTGTAGTTTCTAAAGAAAGTAGTACATCATTAAGCTCTAGTCATGCACACTCAAAACTCACAATGCTTTCTATTAAATTGCTTCAGTCAATGTGTGGGAACCATTCAGATGCAATGATAAAACATGCCGCCTGAAACTAAGGAGGGGGAAAAACAATTAACACTGTCCATGTTTATGCTAAATGTTTCAGTATACAAGTGACAAATGCTAATTGTGAATGTTTGTTATAACTCACTCTGTGGCCATGAAGAGGGTTTGAATGATGCTGTTCATGTAGCAGGTGTTCCCCAAGTTAACCAGGCCAGTCTTGCCAGTCTCAGACTTCCCAACTTGCCTCAGGAGACCTGATGCAAATGAATTGACTGGGAGGTCCAGGCACTTTGATTCAACACCAACTTGATTTTTTCCTCTCCTGGTTTTGGGAGATCCTGAGACAAAATTAGAATTATAAGAACCTGAACAGATGTTTACAACTAAAATCAAGAAGTTTATTTATGCAACATAAAACACAACCCTTTGGTCGGCTTCTCTTAAACAACCACACACACACACACGAGTGAACATTTAGGGTTTGAATTGACATTATACAATACCTTGATGGCCTCAATGATGTGGTCATAGAGGTCAGGGAAGCCGGAGTACTGGTACATCATGCAGTGTATTAGCTCAGTAAACTGCAGCAAGAAAGCTTTACTGGTGGGGAGACCATCTGTCCTCAAAGACTGGACCAGGTGCACCACATGTGGAACAACTGAGACCGTGAGGGATAAAGATGAGAGGAAGATATTCAGGACACTGTGATGCTGGAAATGTTGAAATTAACTACAGAAATTAAAACACACAAATCTGCAGCAATGTCAGCCAGAGGGCAGCTGAACATCAGGAACCGCACAGTGTGTTTCTGAAACTATTCATGTATTCATAGATACTAATGAAATTGGCCAACTCAAGGGCCATTTCTCCACATTTAAGTGCTTCACACATCATTAGTGGGAGAGCGCTGCTAAGCCTGCATTTCTCCACATTTAAGTGCTTCACACATCATTAGTGGGAGAGCGCTGCTAAGCCTGGGGTTCTGGGAAAAGAAGTCCGTGCAGCTTTGAAGTAATTTAAGCCAAAAGAAGAAAAATGAGAAAAACTAATAAAGTGGCCATATGAGAGGGAAATGGACTGTGAGAGCAGAGGACATCCTTACCAATGGAAGGCCTCGGGAGAATGCTGGAAACTGAGCAGCATGGGAGAGCACGGGAGCACGGTGAGCGCCCCCTGTCGCACGATGGGGTACCAACAGACGACTGAATACCTGTGGGTTACATGAAATGATCTTTACTTCATGAATACATTTATGTAAACTAGGAAAATGCTTTAATTGTAAATGTAAGCCATTTTACCAGCCCTCAATAAATTACCCTAAAGAAAAATCACTGCATCTGTGATTATAACAGGAGCAAAAAATAGCTGGGAAAAAATACATACAGTACCATTTTTGTCTAGCTACATTCTGACACCTAGAATGAATCAAAATTTAGAATTCTCTCTACAAACCAGCTCGATCTTGAGCAGAGTGACGTCTATGAGGATGGTGAACTTCTGAACTGCAGCCAGTCCTTTCAGAAGAGCAATGACCCAGGTATCCACATGTTGGGCCAGAGGCCAAGACAGCCAATCAATCATCCTGGACAGAGAGAGAGAGGGTGATTATATGGGTTGAATTTGATGTGTAAAAACATGGAAAACAATATAGTAAATGGTTAATGGACTTCAGCTTGTATAGCGCTCTTTTAGTCTTCTGCCTACTAAAAGCGCTTTTACACCGCATATCACACCCACCCATTTACACACTGAAGGCAGATGGTACCAACTAAACCACAGCCACCCATATGCCAACATACACATTACAACATATTCACAATACTTCAAAGTACCTGTATGTGTAACAATCTGCAAAACTCTAGCGTATGTATTATATAAATATAGGTAAAATATAATAAAGATGATAGAGTGTATGTGTGTCATTTATAATAAGCCTATGGAAATTGCCATTCGTTTTGGATGACTAAAGTGTGAAGTCACCTGCAGAGTGCTTTAGTCATGCTTGCGTCTTTCACATTCTGGTCCGTGGTGAGACTCTTGATGAGCACTGTGATCATCTGGACTGGGATGTGCTGGACCAGGCTTGCCAGAGCAATGGATGGATCAAAGGAGGGGTCTAAAAATTGTAGAACAAAGAAAACGTATTACACAACTACAAAAAACCCATCTTTTGTTATTTCTTTAGTGGACTGTAAGTGGGATCAAAATATGCATAGCATTAAATGTTATCAAATTCACAAAGTTTGTATTTCAGGGCTGTTTAGTTACATTATTTTTAGCACGTCAAGGCTTCTGCAACATTTAATTTCAGCAGTTACAAGTTTTTGTACCGTGTATATACTGTTTTTGTATTGTATATACCCCCTGTTTTTTATTTATTTTTTATTTATCTTATCTATTCTGTTTAATGTGTATTTGAGCTTTCTTGTCTGTGCTGCTGTAACGCCCGAATTTCCCCTCTGGGGATCAATAAAGTACTATCCTAGCCTATTCTATCCTAGAAGTGCAAGTTCCCCTGAAAAAATGTCACTGAAACAGAAGCGAAATGACCTTTTAACCCAAACGACTCTGCTGTTCACATTGCTCACTGAGGCATGCTGTCGATGTGGCTATTCAATTGAAAATGCTGCCGACTGTTCATTTTATTCTGCTGTACAGCTCTGTTACTCACAGCACTGCCCTCAGCAGGCTGAGGACATTTCTTTAAATTACTATCAACAAATAACTGTTTATTTTTTTATATTATATTTTAGCTTTGATATTAAAAGGACTACACTGAACTCAACTGTATTTTCATCAGCAAATGCTTTTCAATGTCTGCATTTGAGGACAGTTTGTTCCTTGATTCCGTTGATTTAAAGGTAATTGCTCAAAGCAATGACAAGCGCGTTAAAAGGGGGCCACTATCACCAAAAATTCAAATGTTCCGCGTGCCAGTAATACAGAAGATTATTGGATGAACATTCAACCTATAAAAATAAGGAAGCTAAGCCAAGGGGTCAAAGACAACAACTGGCAGGGGCCTGAAAACTAAAATGACAGGATATAGCTGTTCCCAGATGCCTAATTAAGCACAAAAACCTGGGTATATATGCCAAGATATAAAGAGGGAGGGGTAGACATGGTTCCCTGCAGCCAAATCCATTTTATTGTTGGTATAAATCTTAGCCTTGAAAAAAATTCAAAATTTGTTCATAATTTTTGCTTCCTACGGACATCTCCAGGTGCCCTTTTTTAATGTAGGGTAACTACATAAAAAAAAAAAACTTTCCATTTTGTAAAGAAGGAAGAATCAGTCTCACCTGTAGAAGAGATAATGGCAAAGACTTCCTGCAGTGAGGGAAGCAGTGTGGCTGGGTCAGCCTTCCAGATATTCTGCAGCAGTGTGCTGACCTTAGTCACCTGACCTACATACTCTCTCAGCTCCCGCTCCTGGCTGGCAAAGCAGTGGAAGTAACTGATTGTCCTCACAAGCTGCTGGCAGAACAAAACTCCTGACTTATCTCTCGGAATGCACTGCACAAAGTCTGACAGCAAAGTGTTTAGACGTGCACAGAGGGCAGGTTCTGGACGTTCACACACCATCCTTAAAACTTCCACCTGAATCATACTGAAGATCTCCAGTACCGAGGGGCAGCTGATGAGCAGCCGCAGGCAGCAGTGAATGTAGTCTATAATGGCTGGGTCTTTACGGTCCAGGTGGCCGTAGCCCTGCTGGAGAAGACTGAGGACAAAGTCTTTACTGAAGAAACGCTCAAATTCTGGGCGGTGGTAGCGTGCGTATGCCTCCAAAACCTGGAGGCCGATCTGCCTTTGAAAGGCATCCTCACCAAGCAGGATGAGGCGGGTGGTTAGAATGAACAGGGACTGACACTGCTCCTCAGTCACCTCTTTCTCTGCCGCTTCCACTACCTTCTTCACAATGGCTCTCTTCACTGGAACAGAGTGATCGGAGCTCACGAGGCCCTCCAAAATCTTGTCCATGTTGAGGGACTGTAGAGGGGAAATTGAAGAAAATGAAACCCAACACACTACAGTAGTTAAACAGTCATTTAAAAATAGATATTAATATATATAAAGCAGAAACTCTAAAAACTGTATTTTTGAGACATTGTCGACTGATCTTTTAGTGTTGTTGAGTCATGACTCATTTGTTTTTTGTTTTTTTAGGGAGCCTTTTATAAAATCTGGCCAGGGACAACAGATTTTGGCCTTTTGGCTAACTTTTGCAATGTCCTTGTAAAATAAAAATAAATAATAAATAACTCATAGTAGTCATCTATCATACTATGCACTGGCAGAGCTAGTATTTTGTACTGTTATCTATGAGTAATAGCTACTTATGCACATGGACCATCCATACCACTTTTTTTATCCTGGCTATGTATTGTGGGCTCATGTTTTTTGTATGGGTGGGATATGTATGTATATATGTGTTGTGTTGTGTGTTTGTATGTATGCTGGCTGCTGAAACACCTAAATTTCCCTGCTGGGATGAATAAAGTATATCTTATCTTCCATACTGTAATCTGTTCTGCGTATGTTAAATTTACAAATTATCCCCGCACTCATGTTCACCTCATTTGGCTGTCTACTCGCCGTTATATTGTATAGTTTCTGCTTATAATATGTCTGCACTCATGCACTTTAACCTATGTCAATACTGTCCATTTACTACTCTGTTTTTGCACATTTACATTCAATCTTCCATATTTCATCTTCCTATTTAAGACTAGTAATGCTTAGTGAAATCCTGGTTGTATATATTCACATTCTTATTTTAGATATCTTTTAGTACTTATTCACTTTGTAGTTAATATTACATTGTGTTTAGATTTACTAGCATTGTGTTTTTTTACTCATATTGTGTGTTTGGACAACCTGCTGCTGTAACGCCACAATTTCCTCGTTTGGGATCAATAAAGTAATTCTATTTTACTCTCTTATTTAGCTGTATAACTTGTCTTGACCAATTAAAAAAAAAAAAAAAAGGAACATCACTGTACCATAAAAAAGAGATGTTTTTTACTGCACAGTTATCACACTGCAGAAAAATACTGACTAAATAACATGTTAACCCTTAAACAACATGTTAACCCTTAAATAACACGTTAACCCTTAAATAACATGTTAACCTTAAATAAAATGTTAACCCTTAAATAACATGTTAACCTTAAATAACATGTTAACCCTTAAATAAAATGTTAACCCTTAAATAACATGTTAACCCTTAAACAACATGTTAACCCTTAAATAACACGTTAACCCTTAAATAACATGTTAACCTTAAATAAAATGTTAACCCTTAAATAACATGTTAACCTTAAATAACATGTTAACCCTTAAATAACACGTTAACCCTAAATAAAATGTTAACCCTTAAATAACATGTTAACCTTAAATAACATGTTAACCCTTAAATAACACGTTAACCCTAAATAACATGTTAACCCTTAAATAACACGTTAACCCTTAAATAACATGTTAACCTTAAATAACATGTTAACCCTTAAATAACATGTTAACCTTAAATAACATGTTAACCTTAAATAAAATGTTAACCCTTAAATAACACGTTAACCCTTAAATAACATGTTAACCTTAAATAACATGTTAACCCTTAAATAACATGTTAACCTTAAATAACATGTAAACCTTAAATAACATGTAAACCCTTAAATAACATGTTAACCCTTAAATAACATGTTAACCCTTAAATAACATGTTAACCCTTAAATAACATGTTAACCCTTAAATAACATGTTAACCTTAAATAACATGTTAACCTTAAATAACATGTTAACCCTTAAATAACATGTTAACCTTAAATAACATGTTAACCCTTAAATAACATGTTAACCTTAAATAACATGTTAACCCTTAAATAACATGTTAACCTTAAATAAAATGTTAACCCTTAAATAACACGTTAACCCTTAAATAACATGTTAACCTTAAATAACATGTTAACCCTTAAATAACATGTTAACCTTAAATAACATGTAAACCTTAAATAACATGTAAACCCTTAAATAACATGTTAACCCTTAAATAACATGTTAACCCTTAAATAACATGTTAACCCTTAAATAACATGTAAACCCTTAAATAACATGTTAACCCTTAAATAACATGTTAACCTTAAACAAATCAACACTGATATATTTTGTGGTGTCATTATAGATTATAGTCACAGATTATTTTTTCACAGGTTATTTCAATAAGATGCTTCTTTATTAATGTATAATTGGACAGATTCATCTGTATTTCACCTCTCTGCTTCAGACTCATGTTTATTAACAGCCCGCTGTTCCTGCTCCTCTGCTAACTAGCCGAAGCTAACTGTACCGGGTAACTTTAATTTGTTTCTCTTCCACTTTTTAAGAGTAAACTTCGACTAGAATGGTGGATAACACGAATCGCCGTGAGCCACTTGTCCTGCTCTGTAGAGACAGTTGTTTTTAAAATCATCGGACAACGAAAGTATAAACAAAGCGACCGAGCAGGCCTGACGTTAGCCGAGGGTCTGACTTAGCATAAACGCCGCTGTGTTGAGAGAAGCTACACGATGTGTACTTACCCCAATGAAGCATGTCAACAATGCCCTACTAAAATATCCTCAGTTTTTTTGTAGATGCTACTCCCGTTTGGACTGATTAAATCGTGTTATTTTGGTTCATTTGATCGCACAGAATCAGCTGATTAACAGTTCGCCGACGTCATTCCTATGGACAGAAATGTCGGTAGGACCCTTGTGTGAAGCTATTTTCGTCTAAACATTGCCTGTTACGGATGATTTTTTTTTTTTTTTTTTTTTTTAGATAGAATCTTTATTATCATTGTGTACAAGGACACAACGAAACTTCATTAGCAGCAATCTTACACAGCAGCGTTTCCAAAAACAACAACAACAACAACAAAAATATATATTTGTGGTGATATGAGAGAGAAGTATGCAAAAAAGTGGCCAGAGCAATTAATATTTTTTTTTGTGATAAAATCAGTGGTTCCTTTTACACCAACGTTGTGTAAAGTTTTATGACACGATTTAAATGACGATGAAATCTTGAATTAAGCTATTTGGACACTTTGGGTCGTCCCAATGCAGTTAATATGCTGCATTCAAATACTCCTCGTCTATCTCGACTCTTGATGTATTGAGATTAACTTTTGCACAAAAAATGTATTTGATTCAACAATTTCCACTTTCACCTGACTAAGACCGTTTGGTCGTGTGAGCTTGTCTTCCCTTGCTTGCTGCTTTCATTTAATTGCTCAGCAGCAACGTGATGTGCATTTAACAACCCTTCTACCAAGGATTCTTAATTTGCTATTTTATACTTTGCTATAAGGCAAGGCAAGTTTATCTATAAAGCACCATTCATACATAGAGCAATTCAAAGTGCTCTACAGTGGTAAAAAAACAGAACAATAGGAACATTAGAAGCATTACATGAGATATGACATCAATCAAAATGGACATAATCAAAAACAAAATATATTCCAAAGAAAGAAAGAAAAGAGACATTGGGGAAAAATAGGAAAGAAATATGCACAACAGAACATGAACATCTTGGAACATTCACAGTCGAATAACAATTTTGCAGTAAACAAAAATTTCCATTTCAAAAGAAATCTATTTGGGGAGAACCTTTTAACATTTTAGGGGTTTAAACATAACATTTACAGTCTCTGGATTTAGAACATTGGCTAAAGCAAAGATACATCCTTTGCAGGAATAAGTCATTATACTTGATCAACTTACTAAGAAGGTATGGTTGTTTAGGATTTTTTTTTAAATAAAAGTTGATAAAAAAAAATGTGGTTAAAACAAAACATACTTGGCAATGACTGTTTTTGAAATTGAAATAACTTCAGTCTTTTAACTTAATCAACATAGCATAACGTGCTGTTATGGATTTTTAATGCATGCTATTACATTATATACAGTGTGAATTTGATAAAATGAGCCTATTTCAAGTGTATATGCAGTAAATTATTTATTATTTATTTGTTATACATTTATATCAATTTTGTATTATTTATTTGTTTGTTTTCTAAGCCTGAATCAACCAAACCGCAATGCTCTGTGTTGTCCAAGCTTTCTATAAAGGAAAAAGCATGTGTTTGATGTATGGCTGGCCTGCGTGAGGATTTGTTATTGCTTTGTAGTCCCCTTCCTCTATTCAATTAAGTCTAAAGTCTATAAAAAGTTGAAAGTCAAAGTCATATTCCCCTTCCTTTATTCAATAAAGTCTAAAGTCTATAAAAAGTCTAAAGTCAAAGTCATATTCCCCTACCTTTATTCAATAATGAACTGATTGATTATTCGGTGACTTCACATAAAGGGAAAAAAAAATAATTGCGTTCATTGAAACGGGTTAAATCAATGGATTTTTTTTTTTTTGGCATGTATACAGTTTGAGGTAATTTCAAACAGTCCCTGAAGGCAGCATGACAAAGTCTCGCGATAGACCGGGTAACGTTAGCGCGGGTGCTCCAGAAAACACTGCTAGCGCGAACGTGCTTCTGTAACCGACCGGGTGCGTCTTTCATTATAAACAACCGGTTAGTTCTAATACACGGCGAGAAAGTTGTCGAAAAAAAACCCTTAAGGACTCTGACCCGGGAACACAGACACACACCGGCACCGAATAACGGGACAATAACATCTGAATCGTTAATAATGTCTGAAAGCGAAACCTGCGCGGAGCAGCGGGAAGAGCCGACTGAACGTGAAGAAGCCGGAGGAGCGGAGGTAAGATGGGTAACAAAAAAAGGGTATTGTCTTCTCTTGGTGTCGCTTAGACCTTAAACAAACCTTCAAAGTCTTTATCTGTGACTCATTCAGCTCCTCACAACTAGTTTGTGTTACACGGACACGTTAGATGTTCACTTCGTCAATGTGAATGCTGGTTGAGCTAGTTAGCTGGTGGCTAGCTCACAACAACAGTCTCATCCTGTCTGGACTGAAGCTAACACACAGCAGCAACAAGGCCAGCCTGTTTCATAAGCGCTCATACTATTAGCTTAGTATGGGACAGCAACGCGGCTCAGCTGTCCCATCTGCGCCTTTGTTGTCAGTGGGACGGAGCAGTTCTGGCTTTTTGTGGCCGAGAAGGGATGATGCAGCGGCTGTCTCCGTGCACCTTTACCCCCCCCCCCCCCTTCAATCAATCAGTCAAACTTTATTTATACAGCACCTTTCAGACAAATTAAATTGCAGTTCCAAGTGCAGAAAAGTTATTGACAAAAAGTAGTTTATAAAATCATTGAGAGACTAATGCACACCAATAAGAATTTAAAAAAAATATGTATAAAAATTAAATACAATAAAATACGACACATAAAAGCAACAAGATATTAAAATAAATACATAAGAGGAAAATATTTAAAATTGTACTAGGATAAAAAAAAAAAAACAACAACTTTGAATTGACTTGACTTAAATCTTTGGAAATAAAAGGTGATTTCTAGTGCAAGGCCCATTCATCAAACAAACTGTATTGATCCTACGCGGGAGGTTGTCACATCAGCAGAAGGACAAGAAGAGAATAAGAGTCAAGTCTGCTTAGCATGAATAAATAACTTAATTACAGGAAAATTGGATAAGGACCACCGCTATACACAAAATTAAGAATGGGCCTACTTTAAGGCGAACTAAAATGTTTTATCATTAATAATTATGCAATTGCATTTGTTCAGATTTGATCATTTCGATATATGTGGGGTTGATTTTTTTTTAGGCCTCCTATGAAAATAGTTTTGATAGCAGAATGGAGTAAAATGTGTAAGTCTAGAGTAGGGGTCTCCAACATTTCTTCATCTGAGAGCTACTTTATAAAAAATGAAAGTGGCCAAGAGCTACTTGCATAAAATCACTTGCGTAGCACACATCAGCTGAATCAAGCTGCTGTTTGTACACATTTGAAATTGCAATAAGCCAATGCTTATCAACAATCTTAACTTCACATCAAGGTGCAAGAAAAAAACATGAACATTTTACACTTCTTATTGTGCCACATAGTAAGGTATGTTGCTGAAAATTCACATCAATGTCCAAGAAAACATTACTACTTTACACTTGTTTTTCTGGGCCAAATATATGAACAGTTGGAAGAGGTGCATTTATTGTTGTTAGAGTTTTTTTTTTTTTTTTTACACAGTCTGTAAACATACAGACGAGCTACTGAAAACCTGCCCGTGAGCTACCTGTTGGAGACCCCTGCTCTAGAGCTTAGTTAAATGTTCTGTACAGAGGAGCTTCGGTGATGTCAAATATAGAGTGTGTCCAGAGAGTATCCTAGAATAAGTGTAGTGTTTTCTTTTGTTTGTTTTTTGGGTTTGCTGTTATTGGAACACACAGAGAATAGCCCCAAAACATCAATGTTTTCTTTTGCTGCTCAGGAAAAGTCTGATTCTTCAGATGCTGGAAAAGAGTCGTCTTCAGATGCAGGTCCTGATGGACAAGATGCATCCTCCTCCTCACCCAAAGCTAAAGAAGCCAATCCTGGTTATGAGGAGAAAGTGGTAAGTACACCTTTTGTTTTGCTTATGTTACATGGCTTGCTTATACATTTTTTGATTAAGTTGTTAATCAAGACTGTCTCCCTGTTTATGCAGCAAACAGACCGGACCAACAGATTTGAGTACCTGCTGAAGCAAACAGAGTTGTTTGCTCACTTTATCCAACCATCTGCACAGAAGACCCCCACCTCACCCCTAAAGATGAAGCCTGGACGCCCTCGGATCAAGAATGACGAGAAACAAAACCTTTTGTCTGCTGGAGAGTGAGTACACTCCCACACAGATTTATTTCAATTTAGGATGTGTACTCCTCTTGTGATTTTGACTTATTGTTTCGTGTCTGTGTTTGGCAGCAACCGCCACCGTCGCACAGAGCAAGAGGAGGATGAAGAGCTTCTGAGTGAGAGCACAAAGACAACCAATGTGTGCACTCGCTTTGATGATTCTCCCTCCTGTAAGCAGACACCTGTTTTAATTCATGTTTAAGAGTTATTGCGTATATCTATGATTAGATGAACTAATGATTGGCTATTTTTTCCCTCTCATCTAGATGTCAAATCAGGGACAATGAGGGACTATCAGGTCCGTGGTCTAAATTGGCTCATCTCCTTGTATGAGAATGGCATCAACGGTATCCTTGCTGATGAGATGGTCAGTGTTTTGGTCAAAACTTTTGGCTCTACATTGAAAGATTTCTGACGTGTGCTTTGATTGTACTTTTTTTATTCTACATTTTTACACTGTTGCACCATCTAACACATGCTCTTCTGCTTCTCAGGGTTTGGGGAAGACTCTGCAAACCATTTCCCTGTTAGGATACATGAAGCACTACAGAAACATCCCCGGTCCCCACATGGTGCTGGTGCCCAAGTCAACCCTCTACAACTGGATGAATGAGTTCAAGAGATGGGTCCCTTCACTTCGAGCAGTCTGCCTGATCGGAGACAGAGAACAGAGGGTATGCTGAGTCAGGTTTTTCAATTGTTTTGGAAAACAATGTAATTGGAAATAGTCTAAGTGATTTTATATCTTCAGCCAAATCTAAGCAAAGAAGACCTAGTTTTGGATTTTGCTGCAGCTTTTCTGCAGAAATACTTTTTTAGATGTGATCCAAACTTTGCAGTTTGTAGACCTACAATCTGGCTAATGATTAGTATAGTACACTTTCAGCTGGGATAAAGGGTTTTGTATAACAGTTCAAAGATTTACTGA